CACAGCACAGTCACAGAATTGGCTAAACTCAGCCAGACTCTGTGCTATCTAAGGTGGGGGCCTGCTGGTTTTGGTAAATCCCAGTATCAGGCAACTATCTCCTTCCATAAATTGTATAGTGAGTCTGAGCTCCTCGCTTAGGCTGTGTGAATCCCAGTGACTTTGTAGGCACCGAGAAAGGCATGGTGATGCTGAGTGTTGCAACACATAAGCTGCTTTGCACACGGGGCTAAATTCACATGTTGGCCAACATTTGCAAACCTGAGAACCTAAAGTTAGATTTCTAAACTGATAGGCATTTTTAAAAAGACCTAATTTTTAGTGAGAATTGTAGATGTTCAGCCCCTCTCCAAATCAAGGAATGCGAGCAGCAGAATAAGGACAATGGTGTTCAAAAAAAGAAACTTTTAACAAACTCTGGCTACATCTGGACAGTGGGACTATTTTGGGATACCAGAAGTATCCAGAAATAGCAATTCCATGTCTTTAAATATGCCTATTATTTCAAAATATATTTTTAAATAAAGGGCATGTTTAAAGGCATGGAGACTTGTCAGAATAGTGCTTTATTTCACAGCACCAAATTTTGTAGAGAGTACCAAATTATTTCAAAATAACCTCAAAATAAGCTACACAATTTGCATAGTGTAAATTGCGTAGCTTATTTTGAGGCAAGGGTGCTGTGTAAGGTGCTTTCACCCTCAGAGAACTGGTGGGTAATGTCACATCTGAAGGAAAAGCTAAGGGATACAAGAGTTCAGAAGAACCATCAATTTCTCAAGGAGACAATATTAAACACTCAATTACAAATTATGCTAATATAAAGGAAAAGTAGGAAAGTATGGCTCTGTCAGGAACTCTTTAATTGAGTGAAAATAAAAAAGGGAGCCAACAAAAATGAAAATAGACAAATTACTAAGGAGAACAAAAGAAACTGCATGACCATGTTGGGATAAGATCAGAAAGGCTAAGACACAAACTTAGTTACAAGGGACATGAAAGGCAATAAGAAGAGGTTATGTAAAGAGTCTGGGAGCAAGACAGGTCCTTTGCTTAAAAGGGAAAAGATTAATATCATTCTGAGATGTATTAACAGGACATTAAAAACAAGTAGTCCTGTGACACCTTAGAGATTAACAAATATAGATAGATAGTATTATGAGTGTTCATAGATAAAACCTACTTCTACAACTACCCATTTTTTTTTAATGTTGCAGACTAACACTGCTCTGAGACTTTTGACAGGACATAAGATGTGAGGCAACTGTCCCATTCTGCGGGGTACTTGTGAGGCCTCAGATGGTTTATTGTGTCCAGGTCTGGGCACCATATTGCTGCAAAGATGATGATAAATTGGAAATTCCAGAGGACAGCAACATACGTGATAAAAGATTTCGAAAATCTGATGCATGAGGAAATATTTTTAAAAAACTGGGCATGTTTAGTCTTGAGAAAAGAGAAGGGAGGGGGGACTTGATAACACTGTTTAGTCTTGAGAAAAGAGAAGGGAGGGGGGACATAACAATCTTCAAATATATTAAAGTCGTTCTAAAGAGGACATGATCAATTGTTCTGTGTGTCAACTGGAGGTAGGATAAGAAGTAATGAACCTAATCTGCAACAGGGGAGATTTATATTACATTTTAGGAAAAACAGTGTAAAGATAGTTAAGTATTCGAATCGGCTTCCAGAGCTGGAATCCCCATCTAGGAAGGCTTTTAAAAACAAGTTGAACAAACACCCATTAGGGATGGTCTAGATTTACTCGGTCCTGCCTCAGTGTAGGGTGCTAGACTTGATTACTTCTCGAGAGCCCTTCCAGCCTCACATTTTTATGATTCTATAATAATGAGCATGAAGGCTCAGCCTTTGTCGCAGATTAATCTCAGAATGGATCAGATTTCCTTTATTGATATGATCAGAGTAATGTAACAATATTACAAATGCTATCTGTGGCCTCGTTACTGAGGCATACTGTAAAACTAGATGAAGCTAGTGGAATGTTTATTATATGATTTAATACACAGAGTTATTGGATGAGTAAGCAGGAAAGCAATGCAAGAGATCTAGACAAGCAATCTCAAATGCTTCAAAGACAATGGGGAAAGCTATTAGCTATGGGGATCCTATATAATATCTCCAAGATAGATGCAAGCTTTGTTTTGCCAGCCTGGGAGCTAATAGATTAAAAGGATACAAAACAGTTTAACAAGCCCTTTGCAGGAGAGAAAGGAGGAGCTCAGCTGTCCGAGATAGACACAAACAAGGGTTTTATAGAAGCTGGGTCTTCCTCAGAGATCTGGGTGTCGGCAAGGCTTAGGAAGAGGCAGATATGCCAATAGACTGGGTTATTTTTTAAGATCTATATTTTCTTAAATGCTTTGGTTCTAAATAAATAATACTTTGCTTTACAAAAGCTGGCTGGTTACTGGCTATCACTGTCATTGCTCCCACTGAGAACAGAATCACTGTCTCTGAAGATATCAGCCCTGCTGACATAGCCAATAGTTGAGCACTGGAGACTGAAGCCCAGGGCAGATTCTGAGTGTGAGGCCAGGTCTACGCTAGACCCAGCAGCGCCGCTTAAGGTATGCAACTCCAACTGCACAGCTGGATTTGTCTTACCTTAAGCAAAGCTTTGTGGTGTCCCCACAGTGGGAGGAGTACTGGATACCTGTAGGGATACCTTCTGAGTTCAATTTAGTGAGTCTTAACTAGACTCACTAAATCAAACACCGGAAGATTGATCGGGTCAGCGGCGATCTTCCTTTTAGTATAGACAAGGGCTAAAAGAATCGCATGATTGTATCTCAAGAGGCTACGTCTACACTGCGGCAGTTTTTCAGAAGAGGAAATGCAAATAGAGTGCTCATTTGCAAATCTCGCATTTGCATATTCTCTTCCAATCCTTTTCGCAGAAGAGGTTTTTACGATAAGCCCTGTGTAGACAGGGTCATTTGTCGGAAAAAATCCTGTTTTGCACAAGATCCTGTAAACCTCATTTTTTGAGGAATAAGGAATCTTGTGCAAAACGGGGTGTTTCTGACAAATGGCCCCAGCTACACAGGGCCATTTTTATCATAAAAATCTCTCCTGCAAAAAGGACTGGAAGAGAAAATGCAAATGAGAGCATGAGATTTGCAAATGAGCGCTCCGTTTGCATCTCCTCTTCCACAAAACTGCAGCAGTGTAGATGTAGCCAGAGAGAGATGTCTCAAGGCCTGCAACCTGAGGAGAGTGCACTCAAAAAGACCAGAAGGGGTCAGAAGTGCCCTTCATTAACTGGCAGAGAATAACAAGACATGCAATTGTCAAGTGAATTTTGTGAAACAAATTCCTTTTTTTGCCTGCCTGCGAGTGACTTCCGAGTGAGGTTTGTGTGTGTACAGTGAGGGACTCTGGTTTCACAGTGGTATAAAAACACTAGTTTTAGGGCAGCTTTTCTTGCGACAGAGGAGCACTTGAACCATTGGTTTAAAAATCAAATGCTGTGGCAGAGGGCTCACTGCTTCCTTATCTGAGAACTGTTTGTGTAACTTACTATAAGTTGATAATGTATTTGTACAAAGTTTAGAAAAGATAAAAAAGGGACTTCGAAATCTAAGCAGTAGTGGGTGGCAGTGAGGTGGTTCTTTTCATTATTAAAAATGTAGTCCTGTGGCACCTTAGAGACTTCCACAGGACTACTCGTTTTTTTAAAGTTACAGACTAACACAACTACCCCTCTGAGACACTTCTATTATTAGTTATCATTTTGTATTTCTTATATCCAGTCTTGCCCTTTTTTTTGTAATTCAGGGTCTTTTTAAAGTTTCCTGTATTTTTACTGACACAGTTTTTTTTTTCCTTTGACTTATTTTAATTTTGACTGTGTTGGGATCCATTATTTGTCTTATGACTCGTGTAAGAAATGACTTGTTGAAAAGACTCAACTGTTTTCCTTTAAATAAAACCGTGACTGTCTACAGCAGCTTTCATCTAAGGATCTTGAAGAGCTTTGAAAACATTAAGAAATTAAGGATCACACTGTTCCTTTGAGGTAGGTAATTATTATTATATGTATTTATACAGGCAAACTAAGGCACAGAGTAGTTAAATAACCTGTTCAACATCATACAGCAAACCAGTAGCAAAGCCAAGAACAAAGCTCAGAAGTCTGACCTCTGCTGGAACTTTTTGATCTTCAGGTGCTCCACCCCTTTATTATCATCTATCTTACCCCAAGTATGCAGCAATTAAGAGAGAAACAGGAAAAGTTTTGGGACCAAATTTCCATATGAAGCACTATTGTTTCTGAATATTTCACTCCCAGGTTCATTGGGTTTAAAACCAGAAAGCACCATTGTGCCTTTCTGGATTGTAAGAGGAGAAATCCTATGCAAAATAGTTAGTACTTCCCATCACAAGACTAAATCTTTGGGGTCTGATTCACTACCCAGCTTCCACCAGTGGAAAATCCAGACTTTGGGGATCAGCAATGGAAAATCTCTATAGTAAGGTGCACAGTAGTGCAAGTGGTCCATAGTTCCTACTCTGCTAGTGTTGGCCAACACAGCACCTAAAGTGGGCAAGGCCAGCTGTGGTAGAGGCATATTTGGGAGACGTGTCCCAGTCCTGGTCTGGAAGAGTGAGAGAGTTACATGGATCTCTCTCTGCCTGTGTTGTGACTGAGAGCACCCTCTCTGTTTCACATTAGACCATGATTTCCTGCATGCTGTATAGAATAACATCAACGACGTAGGCATCAATCTGCTTTTTTGTTTAGTCCTGAGTTTTGTAGCCACAATAAAATGATTTAAAGCTCAGAAGAAAAAGTGACTCATCGATATGAAAATGATTAAAATGTACCAGGAACCTTCTAGTATTTGTTTCATCCATATTAACCGAATTTCCCATAGGAATTAAGTCACATTGGCTCAACCACAGGAGGAAGGGCTGGAGAAGAGAGACAATATTAAATTTTAACCACTCTTCAAATAATGGCTTTTTAAATCAATAGTGTGAGTCCTGAATCCTTGGCTTCTCTAATTGCACTTGATTTCATGGCAAATACTGTTGAGATGAAGTTTTACCTCCTATTTGTCACCCTCGCTATCTGCATTCAGCAGAAGCATGTCTTCACTTTTGAAAGGTAACAAGCTCCTGATGCTATTTATATTGTAGTGGGTGAGGGTATGGAAGGCTGTCTGGCTGAACCATAATATCTCCAACTGGTATAAGCAACCATTTGACACAAAGATCTAAAGTGATTTATTATATTTGTAATTGGTTGTATAGGTCAATATGATATATTGATGACGTAGGCAATCAAATTAATATACATTTCCTTTGTAACCATAAATCTTATGTTTTTAATCATATTAAACCTATTCTTTTTGTTCTAACTGCAAATCAGTTCTGTTCAGGCAGTGCTCTGGAATGCAGTTAAATGGCATACTTAAGTTTAATGGGAAAAAATAATTTGCTTCATTTGCCTTAAAACAAGGCCTTAAATGAATTACTTCTTGAAGCAGAAATAGGAACCATTTCTGAAAGTGCTAACCATCTGTTTTCTTTCTAAAAGAGTTTTTATTATTGTTTTTCCTGCCGTAATTCATTTTCGAATAACCATTTCATCCTTGTATGACATCTTAGAAGCAGCTTTATTGTTACCTATTGATAAACCTTAGAAATGGCCTGAAACCAAAAAGCTCTATTAAAAACATGAAAACATCTGCTAGAAACAAAAGCAGCTAAAAAGATTATATTTTCTAATATGCACTTGGTTTTAAAACCTGAAACACTGAGATGTGTGGAGATAAAAAGATAATGCAACGTGTAACTATACTAAGCAAACCCATGAACACAATAAGCATGATTAAATAGCACCCACCATTAGAACATACCAAACCACTACACAAACTGTAATGCATTAAACTGTACAACACTCTTATTATTTGATTGTCATGTTCACAATAGAATTTAGCAGTAGAACTAGGAAGATAAGCTAGATCCATGTCTCTTAACTTCTAATCTTGTACCCTAAACGCAATACTGATTTCTTGCATTGTGTTGTAATCACATTTTGCAATGGTTACCTACATATAGGTTAGCGCTAGTTACACACAATGGGATGAATAGGAAAGGAAGTGCACAGGAGAAATTAATTAATTAACACCAGTTTATACTGTTGAAACATTGTCTTTTAATGTTGAAACAGAATAATTAAAATTTGGCCTAGTCAGCAGAAATGCAGTATTGCCAACCCCAAGTGTTCAACAACGAAGAGTCTGGACTCCTAATAACATTGAAATTGGCTGTGAAGCCATGGGAATTCAAAATGGATACATTTTGGGTTGTTTTTATTTGATTACTGGTGTTGGAACATTTAGGGTTCACATTTACCAGCTTTTCTCTGTAACTGTACCATGTTTCCAGCAGATGGACCTTTAAGAAAAATGACACATTTTGCAAGACTTGTGAAAAGATTGTAAAAGCTGTCAACACTGGGAATGTGTCCATTTCACTGAACTGTTTAGGGAGGGGAGACTGCATTAAAGGACCTACAAGATGTATGGAAGGGAACAGACTCCATTATTCATAATGCTGTTCTCCAGTGTCATGAAATAGTCTTGTGGAATTTTTGCTTTCCTTCACTATTAATGTCTTCTATTTTTGACAATTTTATGTGTCAAAAATACAAGCCACGAGTAGAGAAGAAAAGCAAGACACATACTGGATGAGATTAAAGATACTCATGGCTGCCAGCAAGAAGCCATAACAAACACCTGCCATCTGTTATTTTCTTATTTATTATTTGTATTACCACAGTGCCCAGAGCCTTCATTGTACTAATGCTGTTTAAACGCGGGTAATTGAGTTATTCATAAAAGCACTGAAAAACTCACTGGTTACATGGTTACCTACACCTGCAGCCAGCTCCCCACATGCACCAGTTCCTGCCTGCTGCCCCGCTCCCAGGGAACCAGCTGCCACCCTCACACTTCTGCCTCTGATATATTACAAATTTTGGTGAGAGAGGTTTCAATTACAGGCAAAGGAAAGAAGCCAAACTGGAGAGGGTTAGGACAGGACTTCTCAGTTCCTGCCCTCCAAATCTGTCAGACTTCACAAGTGTCTCCGTGCACACCATGATATCTCAAATTTCACAGTAGCAAGAAGGCATGAAATCAGATCCTTTTGTTCCAAAAGCACAGGCCCCACTAACATAAGCTACAGGAGAATCACCATTAACTTAATTTAATGCCTATAGCACTCAGCTGAGTCATTCTTAGTCTATGTAACAAAAGACAGTGATATAAATACACAATAGTCACTTCATTATAATACTTTGTACTAAGGTGAGCAATAGGAACCACATGAAGAAGTCAAATGCAGCTGCCCAGTTCAAGCAACTTTCATAAAGCCAGCATTGTAGACAGCAACATCCGGAGACAAACTCCTTTTCAAAACAACCCCGATTACAAACTGTGTAGTGCACTTGCTCTGAGAAGTGGGCAGGTCGCCAGTGCTTCATAACTCCAGTTGCTGTTTGATTCTCTCTCTGTCATACGATGGTGAAGGGGGGTGGAGCTTGGCACATTGTTGGTTCTGACCAAGAAACAACAGAGATTGTGTGGAACACAGATAAAAGCAGAAACGATCAATCGCTCACTTGCTAGCCTCAGTCAGGTTCACAGCTAGAAATCAGTCACAGCAATGAGCAGTGGCAGTCATGATCCATAGATTAAAAATACATGTTTTGAGGGCCCTGTCTGTTTCATTTTAAGGACAATTTTTCTGAAATGGTGTCATCGGTCATCCTCCAACAGCTTGCTTCACCCACTGTCACCAAATCCATAGGGTTTCTGGGTCAACTGCTTCCACTCCAAAAAAATGGAAATGGCGCTCAGACATGCACCAGCTCTTCTCCCTGCTCCCCATTCCTACCTATACACCAGACATGTCAAGTCTCCGTCACTCAGGCTACGTCTAGACTGGTATCTTGCAAAATCCCCACCTTGTCCAAGGAACCATGTTTGCTCTTCCACTTTTTTAGAGGAGGCTTTTCTGCCATTTGGCCCTATCTAAATGGGGCCAAATGGTGGGAAAGCCTCTTCCAGGAAAAAAAAGTGGAAAAAGCTACGCAAAATGTGCAGCGCATTTTGCATAGCTTTTTCCACTAAAAATGCCACAGTCTAGACCTAGCCACAGTGTGAGGTTCACTCAGTAGCATGCTATCTCAATCTCATCCCGATTCTTAAGCTGATCCCATGCATTTTGCGTGAATATATAAAGATTTAAAATATTTTCACTCAGGCACTGTAAGAGAGGACAATATATCCGGGGCCTCAGGTAGAGGGCTTAGAGCTGGAAAGCTGCTTTCCAAATGTGTGTACTGCGGAAACCATGGAGACTATTGACTCGTGTTCCAGGCATGTGCAAGAGGATAGAGGAAGTTATGCGGGATGGGGCATGATTGTGTATGTGAATAGTTGGCAGTCAAAAAAATTCTGTTTGCACCCAAAGAACAAGCAAATGGTCGATCAAAAAATGGTGGGCTTTGCAAAATCTGTTTCAAAATGTAAAGCATGTCTCAGGGATTGCCAACCATCCAGGGTTTTGTTCCAACCGGCAAATAATTGTTTTTATTAAAATCAACTGTTTTGCATTGCATCTCATGTGCCCTCTACACTTTGGTATGAATTAAGATATTTAAGAGTTTTATATGCAATATTAAGTAGTATACATTTGAAAACAAACTATTAAGTTTGTTTTCACTTAATCCAACCAGCATTTAAGTGCTGTACTAATAGATGTCACCAAGGTCCAAAGATGATAATCTGTGTCTTAAGTAATAACCTAACACATTGTCTCGCTCTTTAGGGCTGTAAATCTCATTATTAAGGACAGCCAATCTATGGCATCCCTGATACACGGATACTATTTCAAGCTTCTCCTAACTCCCTGTAAGCGAGCATTCAAACCACCACTGCATTCACGTAGGGGTTGAAGCTGATTGGGAGTTAAGGAATAACCAGTAGATATACATCTGGTTTGCTTTCCTTCTGAGTCCCTCGTTATGTTGGTGACCAGGCACTGATTTGTAGAGCCCTGTGTGAATATAAAATTTGTGTATGTGGATACCCGTGGATATAAAGTGGATATGGGTAAACTTGCAGGGCTCTGTTGATTTGGGTGAGGGATTCGGGCAGGCTACGTCCACGCTACGAGTTTTCTCGGCAAAAAATATGCTAATGAGGGACTCGTTTGCATGAGTCGCAATCTCATTTGCATATTTTCTGCCAATCTGTTTTTTTGCTAGAGTTTTTGCGCAAAAACAAGCAGTGTGGACATTTTCTTTTTGTGCAAAACCCCCTTTTTCCACAAGATCAATAAACCTCCTTTTCTGGGAGCATAAGGATCTTGCGGGAAAACGGGTTTTTGCGCAAAAAGAAAACATCCACACTGCTTGTTTTTGTGCAAAAACCCTAGTGATAAAACAGATCGGCAGAAAATATGCAAATGAGATTGCAACTCATGCAAATGAGTCCCTTGTTAACATATTTTTTGCTGAGAAAACTCGTAGTGTAGACGTAGCCTCAGAGAAAGGATACTTAACGCTGAATTAAATAACAAGGGCACTAATGAGCACAACAGCTTGCTAGCCACTCTGGCTAAGGGTCTCAAGCAGAACTGTGAGTATCAATAATGATAAAAAATGAGAGAGAGGAGCAGGTCAGCAGTATGTAGGATTCTAAACTACCAGCAGGCAGGTAGATGGGAGAGGAGGGAAGCAAAGGAAGGGGCAGATGGACAGGATTGGGCAGTAGAAAGAAAAGAGAGCTAGGGAACTTTTACTGTGTAAGAGCATATTTTTAGGGCAAATTTTTCTGCTGCACTCACCATCCTCTGGGGCAGTTTCCTAATCCTGGCACCAGATAGACATGAGCCCTGATGTACTTTACCATGCCTTGTGCTGCTCCGAAATAAGCTATGTTGGTTTTGAAGCACCACAAACCCCCAGGCTATGGGAGAGCAGTGTAATACCTGTTTACTTTAACTTCTCCCTGATTGGGGGTTCCTTCCTTTTTGGGAGAGCCAAGGGCTTTTCAGCAATGCAAAGGACCCCAAGCCGGGGATAGAATCAGGCTCAGCATTTTCATTGCTGAACCTCCTTCAGCTCCGTTAGCACCAAAGTCAGAGAAACCAGTTGAGACTGAGCTGGAGTGCTCGGACGTGCACGATACTGAATGTTTCCATGCACAGACTCAAGCCTTTGCTTTTTCTGAATGTCTTTTTCTTTCCAGTGATCAAGTTTTGTGGGCCCTCCCACGATCAGACAGACAAGTTGAATTCCTTCAGAATTTAACCACCAACTTTGAGGTAATTTTTTTCTCTGTAAATTCTAGGCCAAATTCTGCTCTCAGGTACCCCAGTATCATTCCATTGGGAGGAAGATTTAGTCCAACCTTTCATTGTCTTATGGAAGAGCATAAGATATAACTGTGCACAAGTGCAATAGATGCTTTATTTCCATCATTTTAATGTCTACTGATTGAAAAGAACATATTCTGTTGACTGATAACATTTTCTCTTATTATATTAAACACCTGATGGTAGAATTATGAAATTGATTTTGTATAATAGCAGCAACAAAACAAAGATGATGAAGAACTGACATATGATGATTGGTAAACGCTAATGAAGTTTTTAACTCTCTGACTCCCAGGACCCCCTCGCAAAGGACTGGATTTTACAGTATTTGGTGGTGGTTTGCTAAAGGCAGAGTTTAGATTATAAGAATCTCTTCCTTCAGAATTAATAATTTCTTAAAACACCAGGATGATTTTTTGATTTCCATCTGTCATTACAGAGAAGAGCATTTAATTAAACTAAGGCCTTCAAATTTCTTCTCAAGCACTTCCCCCATTTCATCATATTTTCATTGATGTCAGCACTGAAAAGCATAACCATTTCCCCAATCAGTGTTGTAAACTGGATTCCCCTGATATGTCTCAGATCACAAGAGCCTTAACAACCCCTGTGCCCATAGAATGTCTCTGTCCAAATTTCTCCCCTGACTTCTGTTGCCCTCCTGCTCTTCCCCTTATTCCTCTTCAGCTTCTTATTTCCTTCACCAACTGCTCCTATCCACCTCCTCCATATCAGCTTCTGTCTCCCCTCTCCTTCTCATACCTCTCACCTTTACCTCGCAATCACCCTCTCCTCTCCTCATAAGAACACCCATAAAAGGTCAGAACAATGTTCCATCTAGCCCAGTATCCTGTCTTCCAATAGAGACCAATGTCAGGTGTCTCAGAGAGAATTGACAGAACAAGTAATCATTAGCAATCATCCTCTCTCTCTGGCTACTATGATTTCCTCTTCCTTCACTCTGCATTCCAGTGTGGCCAGACACCAACACTGGCAACATTGAAATCAGAGGGGAGATAATCTCCCTGTATGCCTTTCCAACCCATGGTGCCACATGGGCCTCCAGAAGCCAGGGAGGGTAAAGAAAGCTGTCACGCTTGCTGGATTGGCTCACAATTGAGTGCCAGTCTTAGGGCAGACTGTTAAAAACAATCTGGTGGTATGTTCTATCGTTAATTTCACCTACCCAGAACACGTGAACTTTTGGATCACTATCACATCAGAAGTTAAGGAGAATATTTTTTCTCCCTCTTCCTTGTAACAACCTTTTAGGTACTTGAAAATGGCTGTTCTATCCCTCCCAGTTTTCTCTTATCCAGACTAAACAAACACAGTTCTTTCAGTCTTCCATCATACGTCATGTTTTCTAGATATGTAATCATTTTTCTTGCTCTTTGGATTTTTTCCAGTTTGCCCACATCTTTCCTGAAATGTGGCACAGTACTTCAGCTAAGGCCTAATTAGCATGGAATAGGGCAAAATTACTTCTCATGCCTTGCTTACAACACTCTTGCATCCCTTATCCTGCCTTCCTAATGGGGAAAGCCATCTCCATCCCTGGGGCAAATGGTGTTGGCAGTCCAGCTGCACGCAGGTTGGGTGGGGCTCAAGCCCTAATACATCCCAGAATTTTGTGTGTGTGTGTAACAGTGCTACACTGTTGACTCATATTTAGCTTGTGGTCTACGATTACTCCTAGATTGATTTATGTAGTACTCCTTTGTAGGCCCTCATTTCCCATTTTGTATGTGTGTAGCTTGATTGTTCCTTCCTAAATGGAGTACACTGTGTTTGTCCTTATAGAATTTAATCCTATTTATTTAAGATAACTTCTCCAGTTTGTTCAGCTCATTTCAAATTATAATCTTTCCTCTAATAACACTTGCAACCTCTTCCAGCTTGGTGTCATCTGCAACTTTATAAGAGTACTCTTTATGCCATTATCTAAATAACTGAAGAAGATACTGAGCAGAACTGGACCCAGAACTGATCCCTGCTGAAACCCACTTGTTATGCCATTTGAGCGTGACTGTGAACCATTGATAACTACTCGCTGGGAACGGTTATCCAGTTATGCACTCAACTTATAGTAACACCATGTAGTTTGTATTTCCCCACTTTGTTAATGAGTGGGTCATGTGAGATTGTATTAAAAATCTTGCTTGAGTCTAGCTATGCCACATCTATCACTTTCTCCCTATTCATAAGGCTTGTTACCCTGTCAAAGAAAGCTATCAGCTTGGTTTGACATGACATATTTTGACAAATCCGTGGTGACTGTTATCATCTTCTTCTAGATATTTGCATATGGATTCTTTAATTATTTACTCCATTACCCTTATTGGTAGAGAAGTTAAGCTGACTAGTCAGTAATTCTATGAGTTACTTCCCATATATGGGTTATTTCCTTTTTTATACTACATTTCCCTTTCCCAGTCTTCTGGAATCTCTCTTGTATTCCATGAATTTCAAAGATAATAGCTAACAGCTCAGAAATCTCCTTTAGTCAGCTCCTTTAGTATTCCAGGTTGCATTTAATCAGTCCCTTTTGACTTGAAGACATCTAACCTGGCTAAGTAATATTAAACATATTCTTCCCCTATTTTATCTTTTAAATCTACATAATTTTAACTAGCATTTACTAGGTCAGGTGTCTAATCACCACCAACCTTTCTGATGAAAACTGAAACAAAAAAATCATTAAGCACCTCTGCCATTTCCATATCTTCTGTTATTGTTTTTCCCTCATCATTTTGTATTGGGACTATCCTGTCCTTGGTCGTCTTCTTGCTTCTAATGTTATTTGTATAATGTTTTCTTGTTACCTTTTATGTCTCTAGCTAGTTTGAGCTTGTTTTGTGTCTTGGCCTTTCTAATTTTGCCCCTACATATCTGTTATTTGTTTATATTCATACTTTGTAATCTGACCTAGCTCCTATTAGGTCATTCAAGTTCTCTTGGTTAAGCCAGTGTGGTCTTTTGCCATGCTTTCCATCTTTCCTATGCAGTGGAATAGTTTCCCTTTGTACTCTTAATAATGTTTCTTTGAAAAATTGCCAACTGTCTTCAATTGTTTTTCCTCTTAGTCCCCATGGGATCTTACCTTCCAAGTCCCTGAGTTTGCTAAAGTCTGCCTTCTTGAAATCCATTGTCTTTATTTTGCTGTTCTCCCTCTTCCCATTCTTTGGAATTATGAACTCTATCATTTCATGATCACTTTCATTCAAACTGCCTTCCAGTTTCAAAATCTCAACCAGTTCCTCCCTATTTATCAAAATCAAATCTAGAACAGTCTCTCTCATAGTAGCTTTCTCCACCATCTGAAAGGGAAAAAATTGTCTCCAACATTCCAAAAATGTATTAAATAATCTGTGCTTTGACATGTTATTTTCCAAGATGTCTGTGAAGATAAAGTCCTCCATTACCACCAAGTCCTATGTTTTGGATGATTTTGTTATTTTTTTCAAAAAGGATCATCTACCTCTTTTTCCTGGTTAGATGGTCTGTAGTAGTCTCCCACCATAACAAGCCCTTGTTTTTTACCTCCTTTTTCTTAAAGATCTCTGCCTTAGTGTAGTGTCTCTGGCATTCTGAAAGTTCAAACACTAAGGCTATGGCTACACTGTGAGTTTTGCCGCAAGACCCAATGCAAATGAAGCACGGATTAGCATTTTCTCATGCTTCATTTGCATACTGTCTTTTGTTCCATTTTTGTGCTAGGGGTTTTTGTGCAAAAACAGGCAGTGTGGCCGTCGCCATTTTGCACAAAAAATACTCTTTTTCTGCCTCCGGGACAGGCATAAGGATCTTGTGGAAAAAGGGTTTTTTGCACAAAACAGCCTCGGCAATACTGCCTGTTTTTGTGTAAAAACTTCTAGCGCAAAAATGGAACGAAAGAGAGTATGAAATGAAGCATGAGAAAATGCTAATCTGTGCTTATTGGCTCTTGGGGCAAAACTCATAGTGTAGCTGTAGCCAAAGAGATCACCATATCTTCTTCTGAGTATTCCTATATGACTTTCAACCAGAGTTCAAACCAATGGGTCATGGACTCTTGCACATAACTTCTTTATGAGTGGCTGGAGCAATCAACAAAGCCTAGATAACCCATTACATCTTGACAGTCCTTGATAGGCAGAGGGACCACTCTTCGTATCTGAGCTTATAAGTTCAGAACAGGCACTTTAAAATTATAAAAAAAAAATGTTTCATCTTGTAGCATGAAGTATTTACAAGTGAAGTTAATGCATGCAGCATTTTACAAGCATTTCATAGAATCTAAACATTAAAAGCTTTCTTATAAGACTAGAGTAATACCTATTTTGAATAAAATTAACATGCAAGTGAGCTGTCACATTGCCTGGAAAATTTCACTTCAATTAAGTTTGGCAAAGTTAAAAGCAAATGCAGTGGAAAATGGTATTATATTGGGAAATATCAAGCAACTTCAAATATAGGCAGTGCTGTCCCCTAGTATAAAAATAAAATATTTTTATTGAAACTAAAGTTCAGAATATGTAACATTTAAGGATAATTGGTAAAGCAAATAGTTTTTCATAGAAACACACAGCCTGTGGAATTCTTTGCCAGAAGATAAGACTGGGGCCAAGAACTTGTCACGATTCAGCGAAGCATAGCACACTGTCAGAGTTATAATAATAAACATTTAACAATTGACAAATTTTGGAAGAGGGATTTACTGTCATGGTTGTGGGAATAACATAATCCCTCTGGAGCAGGTTAGTCCATCACTGTCTTCTTGTGTCTACACCTCACATAGCTATTACTGGTCACTGTTGGCCCAGTTCTGCTTATATCATAGGCTATTGGGTATATGAACTCAGATGTAAGCAGAACTGGTTCAAGTCCCTATTCTAAATTAGGCAGAGTGAGAATTTAAACATGATGAGTGTCCTAACTACTAGGTATTCTGAACATGTACTCTGTGTGTCCAAGCCTGACGGTATATTGTACACATCGTCAAGGGATCAGGCCCTGCTGGCAAGATAGACAAGGCAACACGTAGTTGAGAATCTCACTTGGGGACTGCTAGGGCTTTGGCATGTGCTAGATCTCCAGGTGGCTCATTAGTATGGAGTGGCATCCAGATGAAGGAAGTTTTGTGTGTGCTCACCTGTTGCAACGTACATAAGAACATAAGAACGATCATATTGGATCAGACCAAAGTTCCATCTAGCCCAGGATCCTGTCTGCCGACAGTGGCCAATGCCAGATGCCCCAGAGGGAGTGAATAGAACAAGTAATCATCAAGTGATCCCTTCCTCGTCATCCATTTCCAGCTCCTGACAAACAGAGTCTAGGGACACCATTTCTACCCATCCTGGCAAATAAATATTGATGGACCTAACCTCCATGAATTAATCTAGTTTTTTTTAACCCAGTTAAAGTCCTGGTCTTCACAACATCCTCTGGCATGGAGTTCCACAGGTTCACTGCACTGCGCTTTTCTTTGTTTTAAACCTGCTACCTATTAATTTCATTTGGTGACCTCTATTTCTTACATTATATAAGTGTTATAGGGTTAGACAGCAGCTGATTAGCAGTTTTGAGAATACCATCAGCCTTTAATGGTGGATGTAGGTACCTAAAGAGGCAAGTAGGTACCCAAATTCCTTTGGGAATCTGGCTATTAATCTTATTTAAAATTTAGAATATATTCTCCGGAGGCTATCTCTATAATGGTTTGTCCAAAGGCTATAACTACAGTGTACTGCATTGTAGACTATGGAGGCATGAATTGTAGAGTACACCAAAAAGTTGAATGCTAATCGTGCCTTGTGCTGCTAACATGAACTAAAAAGTACGTAGTTTGCATTAACATAATCCTGTATGGTGCTTCAAAATAAATATTATAGTCAAAGTGTAGTTGCCCCAAAACCAAGGAGAGAAGAGAAATTATCTACCTACTCTTCGACACGTTGATTTTGAATATGCAGAAAAAATTGCACTGGCCTTTTTTCACATTATAAATTCACAACTAATTTACTGTCCACTATCACCCCTAGATCTTTTCAACATTATTATCGTCAATCTTCCACTGAATACTGAAGTCTCAGAGGGTGCATCTACACTGCAGGGCTTTACTCAAAATAAGCTACGCAAACTGAGCTACGTCAATTGCACATCTTATTTTGAAATAAATAGGGAGCATCTACACAGCATTTATTTCGAAACAGAGCACTCGTCCTCTAACTTCCCTTATTCCTCATACAATGAGGGTTACAGGAGTTGGAATAAGAAATCCTCCTGCTTGATAGTATTTTGACACTATTTCAAAATAACTGCTGGCTGTGTAGAATAGAGATAGAAATGTAGCCATGTTAGTCTGGTGTAGCTGGAACAAAAAACAGGACTATGTAGCACTTTAGAGACTAACAAGATGGTAGACATGGATTAAGTTATTTTGGAATAGCACTAGTTATTTCAAAATAGTGTTGCAGTGTAGACATTACCCAGGTCATTTTATTTCATTAACTTTCATTTTACTAACTTGAACTTTACTACCATGAATTTCATTTTATTTTCTGCCTATATTTAATCTCTCATGACCCCTTTATATTATTGCAGCATGTGGATTTATTTTGAAATCTCTTCTGGCATTTGGTTTATCTATAATCAGTAACCACTGTATACAATAACTGCAAAGACTGTCTGAACTGCATTCATTCCCCAAATACCGTCGAGGAAAATAACAGTCAATAGACTTGAGGATCTGGATTGTAATAATCAGCTAAATTGATATATTAAACTAGTAAAATTATGAAATATGATGTTCCTGACTTTGTTCTTTATTTACGAATTTATATGCAGTTGTTATAATAAACTTTTCTTACCTACACACTTTTCATTTTCAGCAATAGCATGATGTGAGAGCACAATATGTGAAACATAAACCTGTTTCCCCCGCATCACCTAGTAGACTGAAAATATGTATTCGGTTTTGATTGAATCCAGAATATTTACTAAATGATAGTGGGTTTTTTTTTCTTTCCTTGTGAAAAAAATTGTTTTTGGAAACTTTTTAGGTTGTTCTTTGGAAACCTGATTCAGCTGAAAATATTATGAAGAACAAGGAAGTCCATTTCTATGTCAATGTATCCGATATAGATGATGTGAAAGCTGAGCTAAACCGATCTACCATCCGATACAAGTATGATTCTTACTTCTTGCTGTAAAGAGATGAAATCAGAAATTCAAACTAATAAGTGACACTGCATTTAAAAGTGGTTTATGCTCTTTGTTTGTTGTTCAGAGTTTTAATGGACAATGTTCAAGGGCTCATCGAACAACAAACTGTCAATGACACAGTCAGCCCCCGCAGTTCTGCATCCTACTATCAACAATATCACTCTCTGAATGAAGTAAGATACATTATATTTTTCTTGTTATCCTTTATGTTTTTGTTAGTGCATTAACAAGGACTTATATTTATTTTGATGATGATGGTGATGTGGACTGTTACATTACAGATCTATAGGGGAATCAATTACATTTGTATCAATTCATTAATAAGAGTCCATATTAAAACAGTACCTTTCGTGAAGAAGGATCCCAATAGCTTACAAAAAACTACATAGGAAGTCTTTGTCCACTAATTAAATTCAGTCCCCTCAGCAGCAGCACAGCACGCATCTGTGCAGTGCAGACGGTGAATAATATCTTTTCAAACTGAAGTCACAGAAGGAGTTGTAGGTAGACACAATGCAATTACCTGAAATGAAATGTGGTCAAGATATTTTACATTTTAGGTAAATGCTCACTCTAAGCCCACAATCATAACTTTAGTGGCTTCTGACAATTCAATTCTAATGGATCATTCTGTAATTCATCTAAAAAGCACTCTGCATAGTGCAGTTATGTATTTCTACCCAAATTGCCTTAACATGGATTGAATTACCATTTACTTCAAAGAAGTCATTAGTAAGAATAATGTGGGAAGCTTATAGAAAGCAAGACCAAGGAAAATTGTAGCCTGATCTAAGATTATGTTTAAATTCTAATTACCCACCTTTAGGGTTAACAGGTTCTCTGTCCTAGGATCAGGCCCAGTATTCAATTATACAGTAGAGTCCCTATCATCTGATCTAAATGGGACTGACAGGTGGTCTGATTACCAAAAATGTTGGATGATAGGGACTCTACTGTAGCCAGGGCTGCTTGGTCCCCATCCCTGCCTGGCCCTGCCCCTTCCCTCCCTGCAGCTCCCAGGCGCCCAGCCCCGCTCGCTGCCTGGTCATTCTCCTGGAGCCGCTGATGCCTGTAGCTCCCGGGGACGAAGCGGCGCTGGCAGGAGTGGCATCAGTGGCTCCCGGGCACGGGCTGGGAGAATGGCCTCACTCGCTGCCCCGTCGCTCTCTTGGAGCTGCTGATGCCGCTCCTGCCAGCACCGCTTTGTCCCCGGGAGCTTGAGGGTCGGATAAAGCAGAATGTCGGATTACCGCAGGTCGGATAATCCGGACTCTACTGTACTATGATTGGAAACCCTGATGTGCATGGTTGCAACACTCACACTATAGAAACTCTTGTATATTTACAATATTTACAGTTTATTAATAAGGTTAGCACAGTCACAAACACCCCAATTTCATAAGACAGAGAATGTACATTCATATTTCCTTACCATATACTTACATCCCTCCTTCTAGAACAATCTTAGGTGTTAGTCCATCATCTTTCTCATTACCTTCACCTTCCCCATCATCACCAGGGGCCATCATTCTGGCCCTTCCAAGGACTATATCTTCTCCCCATCGCCCTTGGGCTGGGGTCCCACTTTTATACTAAGTGGCGCTGACAATAACATGTTTTATGCATATTCAATAGGGGGTGTTTCTAAAGTTCTTTTCCTGTTGGTCAATATATCATTGCTCTTAACTGATTATCATATATGTCAATTCGTTGCCATGGGTCTTTGTGGTTATCTATGGCAACCTGTGTCCTAATTGCTTAACTCAGCCTGAACCAATTATTTGGGACTTATATTTAATAATACATCTGCTGAGTCTGAGGATATTGTTCTTGCCATCCTGTGTGGGTGAGAGGTCTAGACCTAAGTTCCCCTATTTCAGGCCTGGGAAAACAAAAATAAGTTATGACCAGTATCTGGGTGAGACTGTCCCCCAACCACGGAAGTCTGCAAACCTTAGCTCCTGCTGATCTTGCAAACAGCCTGTTGCAGCATGGATAAAAGATAAAATATAACCCCATATTACTTGATCTGGACTGTGAGCTTATGTATGTTCTCTCATTCAAGTGCAAGCCTGTCTTTTAATTGATTGTAATGCAGATATGGCACACATTGGAAAGTGCATTCAGAGGCTGTACCATCTTGTTATACTCTAGAGCAGGAGCCACTGCACTCCAGGGGAACCCGACTCACCAGGCAGCCTAGGGCTGGGCTGTACTGTACCCAGGTGGGTTAATGGCAAAGCCCTCCCCCAAGGAGTTGAGTGCTGCTGGGTTAGTATTAGCAGCCTAAATTAGAGTTTTTAACTATTACCGAATTAATCTAAATTGATACAAACATATTATTAGCATGATAGGAAAATAACTTGATAGGCTACAAAATGCAAAGAAATAAGTATGTTTCTCTTTCTTTTTTAATATGCTGCTGCAAAAAGATATGCTAGATGACCTGCTGCATGTGTTAAATCTCTCTTTTTCCATCTGTGATTTCTGTAATTCTTTTAAACAGTTCTAATCATTTTCATTTAGGACTGAGAGGATTTTCACAGGGATGGCCAAACCAAAAGTACATCTTTGACACAAAGATCACCCCTTGCCAAATTTCAGGTCTCTCTTCCAAATATGGGGGTGCTAAAACACTAAGAAAAACATTAAAAAGGTAACTAGAATTTTTTAGCATGCACCAAACAACATTTTCTTCAGGCCTTTTTGGGAAACAGTGGAGTCATTTTTGGCTAGTTTTTTTTTTAAATCCGCCTGTGTCTGACACTTGGCATGTAAAATTTCAGCCCAAACTTTTAGTTTGACACAATTATAAGCAACTGAAAGTAGGATCTTATAATAGGAAGTGTCAAGCAACATTAATAAATATGCAATGCTATTGGCACCATGTATAATCAGGGATGAGTGAATTTTTTTTTTCAAAATCATGGAGGAGAAACATAAGAACTACTTAAAAAACTATGTTCCGTGTATAATATCTTATAAGTATTTTACTGGTGTAATGAACTGCGTAAAAATATAGTTTGAACTAAATGGTTAGGCCCTTGATAACTTATCCTAGTATAATCGTATTTTAGTGCCTTTCCTAATTTGGTCTTGCGGTGTTTTGTTTAGGGTTTCTGTGGTGGAGCAGGGAAAGAACAGATGAATCATAAAGTTCTGTACTAATAACTTTATTAACAGTTTCCACACGTTTTCTAATTAAGTTAAAAAATGAAAGGTCAACACACTGGAAATTAAATTAAGAACACAATATATCTGCTCTAGTTGATTTTATGTCTCATGAAATAACATATATTCAAGAAAGCTGTCAGAAAGTGTCTGCTTTTCAATTTTCATTTAACTACATGAAAATGCACGCACAAATTACTATGAATGTACGTGCAAATCAGGCAATGATGCATGCATTTGGTTGGTGAGAAGTGTGTACTGTCTATTTGCATATTCAATTACTTGATTTGTGCATGCAAATTAGGTATACAAATATGCCTGTATTTCTCCAAACACCCCATTTTGAAAACAAGGCTCAAAATATTTAACTTCTTTCTATGTTCAGTTAATATCCTCCCCTACCACCCGCAAATGTTAATGAATACTTGGTTGACATTCTTCCAAGCTCCCTTACTTCGTTCAGTACAACACTTTTCATTCTTTGGTTTTAAATATTGCCTTCAAAAGGTCTGAAAAAATTATGAAAAAGAGTGTTCTGCCTTTTCTCCCCTATCCAGAAAGCTTTTAAAGAAACCTATCATCAAGCTATCATGTATTGATTGTATTATTTCAGGCTAATTCACCTTGAATATGTTCCAACTACTTAAACTATCCACTCAAGCTTGTATTCAACTGTGACATTATTTAGTACTTTTCCCAGACCAGAAGAAGAGCTCTGTGTAGCTCAAAAGCTTATCTCTCTTAATATCTTTTATTGGACCAACTTATGTTAGTATCTCACCAATCTTGTTCTTCTTCTGTCACTCAAATTGTCTCAGATAGAAAAGCTGGCTATAGATAATTAGCCACTGATTGTTGATGGGACACAAATGTGCAGGGAAGTCATGTAAGCACTTTGGAAAAATCCCTCCTTCCTTTTCTAAAAAGAAAGCACAGTCAAGCATTCTATGCACTGAAGGGGAAATCTCCCATTTATTTCAGTGGGAAATTCTCCTGTGTGTGGAATGATGAATTGGGGCTGGAGACTTCGAAACTGAAATTATATTTGCTAACTGATACACTTCATCTGTATAGATATATGCTTGGATGGAAGCTATAACTGAGATGAATGCTGATATGCTCCAGAAAATATATATTGGATCCTCATTTGAGAAACGCCCACTTTATATATTGAAGGTACAGTTATGAATTAATGTGCAATCTTTTTCTTTAGACATTTAAATTACAGGTATAGGTTTTGTCAGAGAGAATTTAAAAAATGGTTCTGGTAGCTCATTCTGATTTTTTTTAAATAGAAAAATATGCTCTTTTTTTGTTTGCATTTTTTTTTAGTTGTGTAAATGTTCCTTTCTTCCCCTCCCAAAAGTAAACAGGGTGCCACTGAACTTTGGCATATAAAACAGGTCAAATATGTTTCTCCTTTGCGCGATAGTAAGTCAGTTGAAATACTGCATATTTAAACTAGTGCAAGATCAATATCCAGCCCATTGTCACCTTGAGAATTCCATGCAAGAAAGATCACTTCCTTTTCTTGTCTCTCTTTCTTCTTTTTGTTTACTATTCTATTTCTATTCTCAACACATATAAGGCTGAAAAAAATTTGCAGGGCACAATTTTTTAGGAGAAACATTATAGTTGCCACAAATTGGAGTGGTGTTGTGACTCTGTGCACCACATTGCAATGGCACTCACTAAAATTTGGACAACTGCCCTTCTGTCATGGTTGCCTTTGAGGTCACAATAGGATACATCATGTGTTTTTGTGCTGCTGCCCTGCTTTGGAACGCTGCATGCCTTGGAAGAAGGTGCTGGAGCTTACATGTCGGTGTGCACTGAGGGAGGTGTTCCGGTGGCGGTACCCAGAGAGTGGTTTTCATTCCTTACAGAAACTGGTTGAGGCAAAACCTGAAACTAGACTTCCAGAGGCATGTCTGCTTAGTGCCATGACATGCTGACTGCACCAAAACCACAACTTTAACAAACTGTGGTCACAGCTCTTGAAACAAAACAAAAATCTACAACTTTCTTAAAGACTTAAACATATATTATTATTTTGTCAGCTTTCTAAGAGAGACGGAATACCAAAAGGTGCCATATGGATTGACTGTGGAATCCATGCAAGGGAATGGATTGCTCCTGCTTTCTGCCTTTGGTTCGTAGGACATGTGAGTAGATTTCATTCCAATATTTTAAACAAAACAAAATACCTTGATCCTATTTTCTTTCTCTTGCAAACTGTGCTCTATTTCAACAACTTCCTATTCAGTATAATGCCAAGGCACTGAAAAATAAAGTATTTGTATGAGCCAAAGATTAAAAAGAGATTCTCAGTTCTTACAGCAGATATAAAAGTACATTTTTCAAAGCACCAGCACTAAGTTGGACCAAGTCTTTCATATTTATGAAATGATCAGGGGTGGAGAACATAGATAATTATATTTCAAACTAAGTCTATGTCTATACTTGGAGTTGGAAGAGACATACCCATGCTAGCTCTGACTGAACTAGTGCGCTAAAAATAGACGTGTAGCTATGATGGTATGAATGGCACAAGGGGCTAACTGTCCTGAGTATGTGCCTGACATCTTGGATGGTATCATACTCAGGGTAGCCAGCTCCTTCAGCCACTATGGCTACATTATTATTAGTGCACTAGCTCGATCAGAGTTATCATGGGTATGTCTCCTCCATATGGAATTTCTCTCTCCTGTTCGACAGTTCAGACATACCCTAAGAGCGCATTTTAGTGGTAAAGTCTAAAGGCAGGATTACCCAATTAGAAGGGGAATAATAGTCTGTCTACCCAGGAGCTGAATGATATATGGAGAAAAGGCATCAGAATAAACATGAGAGTAAACATAACTTCAGTCCTTGGTTAACATGTATAAAACTCCACTGAAATCAGCAAGGCTGCAGAATGTTAAGGAGCTTAGATAGCGCTTTCAAAAGAGTCTCTGGGAGTTAGGTACCAAAATCTCTTTAAAGGTCAACAGGATTTGGGCAGTTAAGTCCATCAAGCCCCTTTGAAAAGGACAGCCTTAAATACCCCCTTAAGAGCTAATGCTAATTAACCTCTTGCTGTTGGTCAAAGGATGACCAGCTATACTGATGTCATGCCATTGCAATATACCTGGTATCTCAGTCTTGACTTAGTGGGACCACCCAACTGGGTAAGCGGACAGTTGAGTCTCCAAATTAATTGAATTCCAAGCCTTTTTGTGCACACTGAAGTGTTGGCTGTAGTGGCGACTTCTGTGATGTATTTGCCCTCCAGGAGCTGGACTGATGCCACCATCACACTATTACTTTACATAGGGACAACTGAAGACCTCTCAGGTATCTTTCAAGGATGGTGAGGAAACGTTATTATAGACATCATGAACAAGTTCTCATCGTGTTCTATAGGCAACCCAGTTCCATGTGAAAGATCCAATTATGGCAAGACTTCTGCGGCATCTTGATTTCTACGTCATGCCTGTGATGAATGTAGATGGCTATGAATACACGTGGACCACTGTAAGTAGAAGGTTTCCAGACGGCATGTGGAACATTCCAGCATGTTATTCATGAGTATTGTGAAAGCTGGTATATTGAACAGATTTAAAGGCATACTTTCCAAAGTGTCACTTGGCAGTTTTGAGCCTAAACCTCTTTACTGGAGTTTGGAATTTCTCTGTCCCTTCATAGACCACAATAGTTACTACAAAGATGCAATTTTAATTTACAGATCCCAGTTCAACCCAAGGCTTAGATCTCATCCTGTAATTTCATTTTTTTTGGATGTCAGGTGATGATTATGGTAGTATGTCAATCCACAGGACTGCCAATACTATGACAATCCACCATAAGGCAGAAAAGCCTGACTGAACAGTTTATTTCTCCTTTTAGTGGTGTAAGGCCAGACAGCATAGTTTTCCATGTTCCATAGTACTTTTTGTTTCAGGCAGACAAATGAGTAACAGGTAAGCTCAGACTACATCCCAGTGGCTTATCAGGTATTTTACTTAGTCGCAGTGAACAGAAGGTTCAAGGCTCCTAGAGGTTGAATGATTTATTTGCTTTATTAATGCATCCTTTTACTTAGCTCCCAGATTCCATTTTTAAGCAGAAACATCTCTCCTCCTTATCTGTAAATTTTGGACTATATATTTTTAAAAGGCCTCAATCCACCCTCTGTTTGTGTATGTTCAGCTTTATATATGCAGCCTTTGCAGGCTACAAGTTGCATCCACAATTAATAGACTCTACACATGATATATAGGATTGTCAGGTGTCTTTTATTTATTGGAAAACTTGGTTGAAAAGGGACCATGGTAGCTTTGATTAGCACCACTGACGGGGCCACTAAAGTCTGGCTAGAGGTGCAGAAGAGCTGGCAGGCCCCTAAGAAGCAGCCAGAATGTCCCTCTGGCTCCTATGCAGAGCAGCGGCCACAAGGGTTCCATGTGATGCACCTGCCCCAAGCACTGGCTCCACAGCTCTCATTGGCCAGGAACTGCAGCCAATTGGAACTGCAGAGACAGTAACTGTGGGCGGGGGCAACATCCACAGCCCCCTAGCCACCCTTGCATCTAGGGGTTGGAGGGCACGTCCCCACTTCCCGGAGCTGCCTGAGGTAAGCATCACCCGGAGCCCACACCCTGAACCTCTGCCTGTGCCCCAACCTAGACCACCCCGCTCCAGCTCAGAACCTCCTCCTACACCCAAACTCCCTTCCAGAGCTTGCACCCATCACCCCTTTCTGCATCCTACACTCCTCATCCCCAGCCCCACTCCAGTGCCCCACACCCCCAGCTGGAGCCCTCACCTCCTCCCACACTCCAACCCAGAATCTTCTGCTGCACCATGAACCCCTTTCTGGCTACACTCCAGAGCACACCCCCCGCCCAGAGCCAATATGTTCTTCTACATTCCCAACCCCACCTCATCCTAGAGTTCTCTTCCACATTTTGAACCTCTTGGCCCCACCTCCCAGCCAGGAGCCCACTCTTCCTCCCCACACCTCTCATCCCTGATGCCACCCGTGCCCACACCACCAGTTAGAGCCCTCCTCCCCTCCTGCATCCCAAACTCTTCCCCCAGCCTGGTGAAAATAAGCACGTGAGCTAGTGTGGTGGAGAGCAAGCAATGGGAGAAGAAGGTTTAGAGTGAGCGAAGGATGGGACTTGGGGAAGAGGCAAGGCAGGGGGCAGGACAAGGGTGTTTGGTTTTCCGTGATTAGAAAGTTGGCAACCCTAATGATATATCCAGTGGGTCTCAATCTGCCATGCAAAAGAGTTTGGTGTATGAAAATTCTATCATTAGAATACAGAAAATATGGGTAGTTGTTCCCTTCCTAGTTATAATGCAGAGTACTATTGAAAACAATGGAGTTAGATTAAGATAAAAGGAGAATTTTTGGATCCTGGAGCCAAATTCTAAAATACTGACTCAGATTCTGCTTTATATTTTGTTTATCTGGGTGAACTCACATGGACCTCAATGAGAGTTTGATCAAATAGGGTACGTCTACATTTGCTCCCTAGTTCAAGCTAGGGATGCAAATGTAGGCGACCGAAATTGCTAATGAAGCGGGGATTTAAATATCCCACGCTTCATTAGCATGATCTCGCTGGCATGTTACTCTGCTCAACAACTGTTTCGAAGCAGGAAATGCGTGCCAGGATGCGGTAGTTCGAACCAAAGCCCTTGTTCAAACCAAAGCCCTTGTTACTCCTAATAACGTTAGTTCGAACCAAGGGCTTTGGTTCGAACTACCACGTCCCAGCGTGCACTTCCTGCTTCGAAACAGCTGTTGAGCGGAGTAATGCGCCGGCGAGATCATGCTAATGAACCACGGGATATTTAAATCCCCGCTTCATTAGCAATTTCGGTCACCTACATTTGCATCCCTAGCTCAAACTAGGGAGCAAGTGTAGATGTACCCATAGAGACTAAGAACATCGCAATTTCCTGTTCTATGCAAAAATTGTACAATCTTTATTTTAAACAGTGTCTTTCAAAATTCTCTTAATTATTATCCCTCAGAAGTCTTTTAACAAAATCTTGCATTGAGCTCAACTGTGGTTTTGATTTGCAGTTGTCAACTTTGGTTTCTGGAAAAATTTTGTGAATCCTCCACTATTTGTATAGTCTAGTTATAGTCAAATCAGAATAATTATATCAAGCACAATCAGGTATGCTTACAATTACTGAATTTCAGTATTTAGAAAGATAACAGAATAAATAATTAAGCAATCCATTTTCAAACACCCAAAATATAATAAGGTGATAAATAACAAGTCAACATGGATTTATCAAGAACAAATTGTGTCAAACCAACCTAATCACTTTCTTTGTCAGGATAATAAGCATCGGGGATGGAGGAAAAGATAGATGTGTTATATCTTGACTTCAGTAAGACTTCTGATACCATCTCACATGACCGTCTCATAAACAAACTATGGAAATAAAATGTGGATGGCGCTACTATAAAATGGATACTTAAGTGGCTGGAAAATGATTTCCAGAGAGTAGTTATTAGTGGTTCACAATCATGCTTGAAGGGTATATAAAGTGGGGTCCCAAAGGGATCACTCCTGGGCTTGCTTCTGTTCAATAGCTTCATAATTAATTTAGATAATGGCATATTGAGTACACTTATAAAAATTGTGGACAATACCAAGCTATGAGGAGTTGCAAGTGCTTTGGAGGATAGGATTAAAATTCAAAATGATCTGGACAAAGTGGAGAAATGGTCTGAAGCAACCACGATGAAATTCAGTAAGAGCAAATACAAAGTATTCCACTTCTGAAAGAACAAACAATAACAAATATATAAAATGAGAAATTAATGGCTAGGAAGGATTACCATGGAAGGGGGTCTGAGGATTATAATGATACACAAACTAAACATGAGTCAACAGTAAAACACTGTGGCAAAAACAAAAAAGTGAACATCATTCTGGGATGTGTCATCAGGAGTGTTGTAAGCAAGACATGAGGGCTGTGTCTAGACTGGCAAGTTTTTCCGCAAAAGCACTTGCTTTTGCAGAAAAACCTGACAGCTGTCTACACTGGCCGCTTGAATTTCCTCAAGAACACTGACGATCTCATGTAAGAAATCAGTGCTTCTTGCGGAAATACTATGCTGCTCCCGTTCAGGCAAAAGTCCTTTTGTGCAAAAGTGTAGACAGCTCATATTTGTTTTGTGCAAAAAAACCCTGATCGCCATTTTCGTGATCGGGGCTTTTTTGCGGAAAAGAAATCTCTGCTGTCTACACTGGCCCTTTTGCGCAAAAGTCTTTTGGAAAAAGACTTTTGCCTGAATGGGAGCAGCATAGTATTTCCGCAAAAGCACTGACAATCTTACATGAGATCGTCAGTGCTTTTGTGGAAATTCAAGCGGCCAGTGTAGACAACTGGCAAGTTTTTCTGCAAAAGCAGATGATTTTGCAGAAAAACTTGCCAGTCTAGACACAGCCCAGAACAAATTGTCTAGGGAGGTTGTGGGATCTCCATTATTGAAGGTTATGCAGATAACTAGCATATGGTTTTATGGGCTCCCTAAATATCTTGCTTCTTTGCTCCCCTTCATTAACAAAGGTTTCTAGCCTTGGCAGCTAGAGTGCAGTCAGAAGTTAAATTTTCACTAGCAAGTGAAATAGTGATATCCATTTTTCTAAATTTTTATGAAAACCCACATTTTTGTGTGTCTGTCCACAGAATCGGATGTGGAGGAAGAGCCGCTCACGGCATGGAAACAACAGGTGCATTGGTACTGACATGAACAGGAATTTTGATGCAGGCTGGTGTGGTACGATGCAATGTTCTCTATATTTTATTACAGACATTTCAGTTTTAACTTTCAGATTTCTTCATATTCAAAATATTTTATTTACCTATTCATATAATAATTTCTGATATAAAGATAATATCCCTTAGTAATGAACTTAATCAAAACATTTATAAGCAGCTCTGGGGTCCAAAGAACAATTCCCAACTTTGCTACATATTTCCTATGTGGTTATCAGGAAGACACTTGAGCTCTTTTTGCTTGTTTTCCCATCATAAAATGGGAATGAAGAAACTTCTCTACCTCACAGGAGTATGGTGAGGACAAATTAATTGAAGTTTATGTATTGCTAAGATGCTATGGTGAGAAGGACCATATAAATAGATTTAAAAGTATATTAAACATAAAATAATTAATACAGAACTTGGAGAAAACAGGCTATATAATAGCTAATTGGTATGCTGTGAATATTAATTACAGCAGAGATTTATACAGCATACTTAATTTTCAAAGCACTTAAGGTGCTTCACAACCATATAAGGCAGATAAATCACCACCATCTCTATTTTATAAGTGAGGAAACAGACATGCAGAGGTTAGAGAGTGGCTCTATTCTGAAAAATCACTTGGCAAAAAGGGCACCTTTAGATGCAACAGATTTTCTTTTTATGTGTTCTGAGTCCTATCAGAGGACTTTGGTAACTAATATTAGTTTGTAAACCAAACTGGATTCTATTCTTTTTTGAACATCAATAGAATTCTTTATTACACTTCAACAAAGTGCACCTTAATGAAATCCATTGAGAGTAACAGGACTGTATAGGTGTAACTCACAATATAATATTGCCTTCACATGCTACATTATTCAGAAAGAACCCAGTGCAATTAATCACAAGGTTGAGTGTTATAATTCTTATATTTTAAAAACTGAACATATCACACACACTATCACTGTGAAATAATAAAAGTGCATCCCAACAATTTTAATTTTACAGAAATATTGTTCAGAATAGAGGCACTCTTTAAGGGAAGGCCTTCATTTTCAGAGATGTTGAGCAGGTCCAACTACCACTGGCTTCAGTTGGAGTTATGGACCAGGACACACTAACATAAAGCAGCAGCAGATGCTTCCAGAACAAGAGATGAAAAACTGGTAGTCCTATCTCCGCTACTATAGTAATTAACCCCCCCCCCCTCCTCCCACCACACAGCAAACCTCGGTTCTACACATGTCTGGGTGAAACCAGACAATCACTGTACTCTCAAGTAGGGTTGCCAGGTGTCTGGTTTTTCACTGGAATGTTCATTCAAAAAGGGAACCTGGTAGTGTCCAGTCAGCACAACTGACTCAACAATAAAAGTTCAGTTGCCTGCGGTAATCAGCCTCCACTACTGGAGCTGGGAAAAGCTGCAGCTGCCAACTGTTGCCACATACGGGACCTGCTGAGACCTGACAGAGAACAGTGGCTAGGTTCTACCATTACACTTGGTACAGGCAGTCCCTGGGTTACGTACAAGATAGGGACTGTAGGTTTGTTCTTAAGTTGAATCTGTATGTAAGTCGGAACTGGCGTCAGCCA